AAAAAAAAAAAAAAAAAAATTGTAGCCGTGGTGTCTTATTGCTCATTGTCCCATGTCAACCACCTTGTTTATCATGTTACTTTAGACCACATGAGATCTGAGGCTGGTAGTTTTGACTCGGGGGGGAAAATTCCCAGTGCAGTCAATGGGAGTTTTGGCAGAGCAAGGACAGTGGGTTCAAACCGACTGGGTTACAGGGCAGTAGAAAAAAGCTAATTCTGCTGCAGCACAGTCCTTTTCTCAGCCATCTAAAGGAAATGGAGAGGGGATAAGGCTGCTTCTTCTTTTTTTTTCTTTCCTTTTTTTGCTCCTCCTGCCCAAGCACAGCTCAGTCTTGTTGCTGGGAACCTGCTGTGCACTTTGCATAATGCATGTAACAGGGGCACAGAAATGTAAGAGCCCCGAGTGTGAATGAAGGTGACAAAGCCCAGCAGGCTGGAGGCAGATTTCCTGGCAACTTGCATTTTGCATGCTTTTGCTTTTAACCATGTGCCCCTAACCACAGATGAAGATAAAATTAGTGCAGCTAGCACCAGACCGGACACCACTGCAACAACTGCTTGCTGCTGAACAATTGTGGCTATAATCATTGATTTTACTGAGAGGTAACGAGAGGGGGGGTTTAGTCCCTTTGCACAGCGTGGGGCAATGCACCTTTTTGGGGGGAACAACGTTGGGGCCAGAATCACTGCTGCAATCTCAGTAGGGCAATTTTGAAGCACTGCTTCCCACCGCCCCCTTGGAATTACACTAGAAACACTGGTGTTTGTGTCCCCTGAGCTTCCCCCCCATGGAGATTTCCCCAGGTCCGCTCATGTTGTGGCTCCAGGAGAGTCTGCTGTCCTGGGACTGGATCCACTAGAAGCCAAGGCCATCTGAGGGAGCCCCCGTGAAGTGGTCTAGGGGCCCTTTGTCTCCCAACCAGGCTATCCGGGCTTCTCTTGAAGCAGGGCAGTATGTCCCAATGCTTGGGAAAAAGTTAATGCAATGAGGCTGCATTAACTCTTACCGTGGATTCCCAGGTGGCTGCATTGCCCAAGAAGCAATGGCGCAGGGATGCATGGCTGGGAAGAGGCATGCCTCTTCCCAGCTCTTCCCACTCCCCTCCCCAGATCTAGCAGGGCTGGGGAGGGGAGTGGGAAGAGCTGCCCTAACACCTAGCACCTCGCTGGCACAGACAGACCCAGGCTGGCCTGGCAGGGATTCGTGCTGGTGAGAGCTGAAAGCTACAGGAAATGAAGCCTAAGATTTGCATGTAGGTCAAAGGCACCAGCTTTCAGCGCTGTTATTAGTCCAGTACTCAGTCCACCCCTTCGCTGTAATAACCAGCCACAGCCTCCCCTGACACTGACCCCTCGGAGGTACAAGGGCGGCTGCGGAGGAGTCGCGTTGCTCGCTAGCACTTACATTTCTGTTCTTCCTCCGAGACGATGCGGTACACTTTGTACGGCTCCGAGATATCCAGCTGGGACCTGTCCGTCACCTCCTCGAAGTCTGGGCTCTTGTTCAAAGCACAGCGGAGCCTGGTCTTCCAAGTGGCGGGCTCCGCTTTGTCACCTTCTTTATACTTCCCTTTGAAAACGGCCCACGCCTGGAACAAGGGAGAGAGAAAGCAAAGTCTGCTGACAACTGGCACTGTGACTCCAGAGCCACATCTCGCCCTCGTGACTCCCATTACTCCATTTCCTAATGCCCTTCCTCAGGGGACATCCCCGCCAGCTCCAGTTTGAGTTGCTTCAGCTGTCTTAGATTACCTACCTGGCACCTGTCAATCCACCGCCGAATCTTTACTTCAACTTGCACCATCCCTATCAGGTAGTGGGGTGCCCCAGCCCCCATTTTACAGGCAGGGGCCTGAGACACAGACCTGCTTGCCTGAGACATGCACAAATCCTGTGATGGGGATGGGAACTGAACCCTCATCTCCTGGGTCCTAAGCGGGGTACCATCATCTTGCCCCACAGAAGCCAATGCAGAGGCTGAAGGATGGCAGCTGACAGCCCTGGGCCGATAAACATCTGGCCATAACCAGCATGCAGGAAGTTTTAACTTGCTTTCAGGTAAGATATGCAGGTAGGAAGGCAGGGTTGCACCCCGTGCACTGCCCAGCTCTCCTGCATGCAGCATCTTCTGCCATCAGGGAGCCCTATTTGAAATGCCTGGAGTCTACCTTCTCCAGCCACTTATCCTAAGGACAGTGTTGTCCAGACACTTCACCCACTCTTAGGAGGCTGGATCTTGTGAGATGCACTAGGACGAAGGCTATCTGCGTGCCACAAGTAGTAAAGCTGGCCTGGGGCCCCAAGCTGGTCAGACCGTGCCTGCCCCCACACCTCTCTGCATGGAAATCTACCCCGGGTGAGCAGCATGGGGAAGACAGTCACTTCTCCGGCACTGTCCCACTTTGTCAGAAAAGTGCAGGACGGGGATCCCAGCTGGGGAGAGGCAGGCAGGACGAAGGAGGGCAAAAATGGGAGTGGAGGCCAGCAGGGCATGCAAAGTCAGAGATAATCCAGCCCTCTGGAGCAACGCACTTGCAAGCAAGGCCTTGCAAAGAGGAAGCTGCAATCAGTTTCAAAAGAGTTTTCTAAAACAAAAAGCGGCTCTTCCACCGAAAACCAGCTATTCTCGGCAAAAAGCCCACACAGGGCCACCGTTCCCATCACGCAGCATGCTCTGCCTTCCAGACTTGGCAGCAGCAATTAACCGAGGCCCCAAACGAGCCTTGCAAATGCTCTGATCACAACAGGGAAGACCGGCGAGTGAGGCAGAAAGAGTTTTGCATTGTCCCCCTTGACTGTCCCGACCCGGAGCTATTCTAAGCCCTCTTGCGCATGCTCAGTGAAAGCTGATTTCCAAAAATACGCTGGTGATCACCACAGCTGAGCTCAGCACAGGTGTCAGTGGCTGAGGCCAGGGCCACAGTCTTCATATAACAGATGCACTGTGGTGCAGGGCTCACTTTTGGGGGGAAAAGAGAGCATAAGGTCAAGTTTGTTTTAGAAAGCCAAACCCCCAGAGAAGGCTGATGTTTTATAGGCAGCCTTGGTGGCATCACAGTGCAATGAAAAAAAATCCATATTCAGGGATACTAAAGAATCAAAAGAATTAACTCAACAACATAATCTGAATATACTGATTTGGAAAACAGTCCAACATGATCTCTTTGGGGGGGTTTAAATGTGTCCAAAACCCATATTGAGACTCAACCACAGTCATCCGCAGTGAGGATAGTTATGCACCTGCCTTAGTATCTGAAGGCACTCTCACTTTCTGTGAATAAATGTCTACAGTAAAAATAAATATATCAAAAACTCTCAGAGACCAGGTCAGTTTGTCACCAGTAAAAGGCAACATCCGTACTTGAGCCCTTGGGAACACACTTTAAAGTAAAGACACTATAAACCCTGGTTAAAGAGAGAAAGGCAGTAACTCACAGGGCCAAATTCTGCACGTTTCTGCTGGCCGGAAGATCAGCACCAGTGTAACAGAGCAAGATTTGGCCCACTGCCCTTGACCCTGCACTTTGTTCTGGAGCCAGGACAGAATATGATATCATCTTGCCACACAAGCAAGTCCGGAAAAGCCACTTGGGGATGTTGGGAATTGTGTCGGAAGCAGCGGCATGTTTAGCAATCAAAGGCTTTAAGTGCCTTATTCATGAAAAAAGAAAGAAAAAACACTTTCCACTCGGTTAATGTTCAACCTTCAGCCAACCAGGGAAAAGCTTCTCTCTTTGAAGAAGAAAGCGTGACTCACCTTTTGTGGTGAGAGGGAGCTTTCTTTGAAAGGAGACCAGTTTAAGCACATGTACCAGTTTTAGGAATTCACCAAAACCTTGCTAATCCCACTATAATTATGAGCCACAGCCAAGCACGGATACACGCAGGCCTAATCCTGGCAGCTACTAAGCGCCTGCAACCCCTGAGAGAATCAATGAGTAAAGCTGCTTAGAAAACAAGGTTCTGTCTCTGTGGGAACACACACACACACACACACACGTTCCAGGTAAAAGTAAAAAAGTTAAAATAGTCCAGAGGTGCCAACTACTTTCCCCAAACATTTTCATTTCTTTATAGCTCCAATTTTCCATCCCCAAATAATAATGATGGGCTACTCAAAACCAGCCCTATGCATGGGTATACAACACCTCTTGAATCAGGCCAGTCATTAGGAGATGTTATTTATTGCATGCCCAATTTGGATTTATTTAAAGGAGCTCCGGGCAATTCTTGCTAGCCAAGAACAAAACCCCCCAAGTAGCACAAAATGCACCTGCAGGGAGGTAACCTGTTGTACTCTTACACCAGAACTGGTACAGGTGCTGAGAGCATCCTGCAAACGAGGCCAGTCAGTAGACGTGAAAGCATATGGCATGCAATAGGCTACAGAAGCAGGTGCAGGGACAGGGGCTGTGCTAATATATCAGCGATGACCAGAGACAGTGATGCCCTAGCAGAGTTGAGAGCATCCCTTACCTTGAAGATAGAGGCATCCACCTCCTGGTTGTAATCCTGTTTCCCGGCGTGTTTCCAGGGGATACGAAACATGTTTTTCTCTTCGTTCTCCCAGATCAGCCCGGAGTACATCCCGCTGTCAATCTGTTCAATCAGCCACTGCCGGAGTCTCCTCCCACCATTTCTGTCACACATCCTGCAAGGGAGAATTGGCAGGGATTTATTAAGGGCTTCCAAGAAACGCGTCGCTGTCGTACGTGGAAATCAAAGCTCTGCTGTCCCGTCGCCAAAGATGGAGAGATAACAGCACCTGCAGGAAAGCTGAACAGGTTGCACGGCGGGGCAGGAGTTGTCAATGCTTCTGCATCTTGTATGTTGTCAGTACTTAATGTGTGGTCCTGCCAAAGTATCCCAATTAGAGTACGCACATCCCACCTATCGGGCTCCAAAGCTACAACAAAAACAGCCCATTGTAGATCATTATTAATATTAATATGCATTTGTGTAGCAGGATCAAAGCACACGCTTTGAGCCTGAAAGAACAAATTCTGCTCTGGGTCACGCTCACACACATCCATAGCAACTGCATTGACTTCGGGGGAGTGCATTGCTCAGAGCCAAAAAAACAGAAACTGGCCTGAAGCTGCGTTGCGGTCTGCGTGGGGCACACACACATCTGCTTACACATTTGGAAAGGGTTAGAAATAGCCAAAGAAATGGGAATAAAACCCAAGTTCACAGAAATGAGATTCTTGGCTGGCACTTCCATGAATTGGTTATAATCGGTACTTCTCGGGACACGCACTTCCTGTGCTGCAGCACAGAGCACTTCTTCAAATGGCACTGACAACTATTTCGGCGGATGCCGTGCCCTTCGGGGGCCTTCCTGACCCACTCAAAAGGGCTGCTGTGTAAAGGACCCTCTTCCTGGGAATACGTTGACCGTTCACAAGAAGTCCCGTCCACTAGAAATCCCCTACGTTGCTAGACAGATGCCCACCCAGTAACTAAGCCTGCGTCTAAGCCACGTTTCCTCCTGTTATCTCCAATTTAAAAATACATGAATAAAAAACTCCCCCGGTGCTGGATGACTGCCGAATCACAGGTGAAAAGCCTGACATACCCTCCCTAAATCAGCCACTTCAAGGCCTGCACTGGCACTGGTGAAAGGAGCCTGCGTTTGACACCGCAGAGCGCAGCAGTACGTGTCAAGACTACGCTGCATTAGTGAGCTGGTAAGATGCAACCCCGACTTAAATGCAGCTACATCTGCTTACACCTGCTAAGGGCCCGGTTTGACAGACTCCTTACTTCCAAAAGGACAAATACACAGCCCGATTCTGCTGTTGCTTACCCAGACTTCAGCAGAGTTGCACCGCTGCGAGAGAAGAGTTTATAATGAAGTCCTAAACTTTAGCAACAGTCTGTTACCCTGGGCAAATGCCCATTAGGTCCCAACAGCACGGGGTCCCAAGCAAGAAGCACGAGACTGCAGGTACAAACTCAAGCAAAATGCACCAAGCGTTTTGAGAGCTGTCTAATTTTAGTGCACGCAGCAGCACCACTATAGTTAGAAACTGAGAATTTCCCTTAGGCCGCAGACCTCCCACTATAGCTCAGCAGTTTTGATACGCGTCTCAGTGTCCCCATGTCACGTTATTTCATTTTGGGTCATGAAGCCATTCGAGCGGTCAGCAATATTAATAAATCTGCTGTCTGGACTCGCACACTCGGCTCCATTCATTCTGACCAGGAAGGCTCCCAGAATCAGCCTTCTCATGAATGCAAACCGAGGGCAAAGTAGGAGAGAGCCGTTTTACCCGATCCTAACAAAGTCATTCACTGAATGTGTTGGCAGCTTTCCTGGTTGGGAAAAAAACACCTGCACATGAACACGCCTGATTATGTTAAAACCATTTTGTGGTTTTAAAACCACCTAGTTCAAGCCTGGATTTCAAGTGTGCTTTGAACACACAAGGGAATGCAGTGTCCGATTAGCCAAATGCCGTCGTGCGCAAATTCTGGCCACAGGTTCGGAGCCGTGACAGCGGCAATGGGAGCACAGTCAGGGTCCCACAACCCCACATAAAAGTACCTAGAGAGCCACAAGCCATGCAGCAGGACTCCTGCTATCAGGTTAAAATGACCTACAGCTAAATTATAGAGTGGGCTGGACTGCGGACTACCCAGACCAACGTGGCCCCCGGCTCTGTGGGTCTTTTTGGGTGATGTCACCTCGAGCAGCAATTCCCAGGGACGGGCGGCCACAGAGACTTCATGGCTGGAAAAAAAATAGATGTCAACAGCATCCCAGCAGCTGAGTCTAAGTTCCCCCACCCACCCAGCTTCCTGATTTCAAGCTACACATTATTTCCAGATGTTTAAAGGACTTTTCCTCTCTCCCTCTGCTGTCTCATGTTAACTTGCATCTTGTTTTTTAGGAGACTGGAGTTGCCAATCGTGATTTAGGCATTCCTATAACATTGCATTTCCCTCCTCGGCTTCCTACCAGAGGTGAAAGCAGCAATACTTAGAAGAGCAAGCGCTCAAACGCAGAGCTTTCCTCTCCTCCCCCTTCCAGTTTTCTTCACCCTTCTCATACTTCCTATTCTGCCAGAGGCACTAATGACCGGCTTGTCAAGGACTCCGGGACAGACTCACAGATGTCCTCATTGAGCATGTGCTGGCTCTCTTCCCTGCAAAGTGGTGCAAAGCAACCTTAAAAGATAAGCATTGTAAACAGCTCCAGAGATGAGATGGACACCGCTCTCTCCTGACTCCAGATAACATTTTTGAGGTGTCACATTCAGGCCAAGTCTTCAATTTTAAAAATAAAACTGGCATCTCTTCAGATCGCCTCTCATAAGGATTTTTATTTTTTGCTAGGCACTGGTGGTATGACTGACCACCTACTGAATCTACTTATGAGCTTCTCCAACAAAAAAATGCCTCGTTTCTGAAATATCCCCCACCCCCCCCGCTCAAAAAACTTGGTTTCAAGGGGTGACTCTGTCTTTAGCTCATTCCTTTGTCCCTACAATTTATCTTTCCCGTTATTTTAGGCTGCCCAAGAGCTTGGCCTCGCTTCTGTGCCATGTAAAGTCACGCAAACCCTCTGCGACTGATAGCTGGGGTTTACATGATGCAAGAGCTCGAAAGCAGCGGAGATGGTCATGGCACGCTGAAACCACACACAGATTGGAGATGGCTTGCAATACACAGGAACAAAGAAGCCAGTTAAAGATTGTGATTTTTTTTACCAGCACAGTTTTTCACTAATGGGAGGGGTGTTTTTCTACACCGGCACAACCAGTTTAGCTTCACGAGTCTTTTGACAGTCTATTGTATCAACCAGTATATCAACCTCCAGGTGTAGGCATGGTCTGGGAACACACTAGACGTAGGGATGGCTTTGCTCACGTCTAGTCAACCCAGGCCAGTCCTTTCAAGTTACTCCTCTGCTACACAAGCAAAAGACAAGTCACCACCTCGCTGAAATAAGAGACTCTCACTTCCATGCAGCCCATCGTTAATAGGATGAAGAAGAAAGATGGCTTCAGGCTCACTGAACCAAAGGCAGGCTTCATTCAGCAGTGCTCGCCCATTTTCCTACCAACCGTAGCCTAAGTTATGCCAAGGTAGAGGGCGGACAAGGAGCGCACCATCTATATCTGGCCTAAATAGTCCTGAAAACCCGCATTGCAGGGTATTCTTAAACGCCAGCAAGTCTCAGCTTGCCTCGGCAATGTTCAAACCTTGCTCTAAGACAGACTGCCAAGGTGTGCTGCCCACCTCTCCAAGCAAGACACCCCCACCATTGGGGGTATTGCTCCCAGCTCCGATTCCCTAAAGCAGCGATTCTCAACCAGGGTGCGCAGGACCCTGGGGGTCCTCCAGACCCTTTCACGGGGGCCGCAGAGTGCCACGTTGCACTGTTTGGTGTGCAAACATGACTCGCAAGACAAACCCGGAGATACCGAGCAGGAAGCCACAGCGTTATAACCATCCTGGCGCCTAGTACTTCCCCGCAGTCAAAAAGCACATAACACCCAAGAGCTAGCGTTGCCTGAGGAGTGCCACGGGTCTGCAAAGGCTGAGGACCGCTGCCCTCAAGCCGAGGCCTAAAGGTGGGAGCTCGACATTTGGAAAGCTGCTTCCTCCTCCTCCCACATCCCGGCTTCTCCGTCGGTTCAGGAGACCGCTCCGGAGGCGCCTCCATCCACGTGCCACTTTGGCTGGGCGCCTGTCTCGGCAGCCGGAGCGCGCCGTCCACCTGCTGCTTCCCCTCCCTCCCTCCCCATCCCACAATTTGGCCGCTGTGCAGGGGGGAGCATCACCTTCCTGGTCCCCCGCCAGAGGCGCTCAGAGGTGACACCGAGCCCGGACGAGGCTGCCAAGTCACACCTGCCGCGGCAAAGAGGACTCCACATGTTCTGCCTTATCAACCTGCCCAGCAAACCTTTTAAACCCGGTGCGGCCACCCCACAGCACAGGGGCCACAGCACAGGAAGCCTCCGTGCCAAACTGGGGAAGGAACAAAAAGCAGAGCAGCAGATGGGGCACGGGGCAGAAAACAGAAGTGCCAGAGGGGCTGGGGGAGCAGCAAACCAGGTGGGGGCAAAAAGCAATGGGGTGGGGAGCAGAAAGCAGAGCGGCACATCAGACAGGGGCAAAAAGCAACGGGGTGGGGAGCAGAAAGCAGAGCGGCAGAAAGCAATGGGGTGAGGGGCAGAAAGCAGAGCAGCACATCAGATGGAGGCAGAAAGCCACGGAGAGGGGGCAGAAAGCAGAGCAGCACATCAGATGGGGGCAGAAAGCCACGGGGAGAGGGGCAGAAAGCAGAGCAGCACATCAGATGGGGGCAGAAAGC